TTGTGGCTTGCAGCTTCTTTCTTTTTTGATCGGCTCCCAGCAAGCAGGTGCAAGGGAGTGGGGGACAAAAGGGGGGGGCAAGGGGGCGAGAGAGTCAGGGACACCCAGAATCAGACCAAGAAATTTAGCTACAAGCATTGCTATTTTCAAATGAACTCCTCAGCTAAGCCTCTCATTAGTAGGTGAGCACAGAGAAGAGCGTAAGCTGGGGGCCATCTAACGAACTGTATTAGGCGTGGCGGCAGTCTCTGGAATACAACAAACACAATGTACCTGGCCGTCTCTCGTCTCTTCCACCGCACTGTGCCATGATACTGCATCTTAGGAGTGCAAGTGAGCGAGAGAGGAAAGAGAAAAAGAAGCAAACCCACATTGTCCCCTACTGGCCAAACACTGACATGCACTGTGACTAGAGAGTAAACCACCAGCAAAGGGCATTGCGTCTACATGAATTAGGGATGGAAGTCAAAGGGGGGGGATTTGACAAAAAATAGCTATTGACGTTATGAAAACGTTCACATCAGTCAAAAGGTTCTCACTCTACTGCCAACAATCAAAACTCACATTTTCATTTGGATTCGAATCGAAGTGACGGTTTGGTTTGGTTTTTCTGGCCTTTCCCTCCCCGCTGCCCCAAAGGGAGAGAAAGAGGGGAAGGGAATTTAAAAAATCATAAAAGTATTTGGTTCGATTCAGTTCAGTTTGCATCAAGATGAAATTGTTTGCTTTCAATGATTTCTTCCAAAGCGGGGGGAAAGATTTTGAACTAAAACAAACCATTTCCCTTCCGTTTGGAGTATTTTGCAGGGGAGAATTCCCCTGGTTTGACCAGCCCTGACGCGAGCAGGGTGCTGAGGTCAGCGGAGCGCAGAGCAGAGCCTGGCTTTAATGGACTGTGCCCTCCCCCGGGAGCTGTGCTGGAGATCAGCTCAGTCGCCTCCAGATGGGTGAGGAGACAGCACGTGTCTCAGCTGTTTGGCCAAGGGCTGTGGTGGGGGAACCTTGGCCCCTAAAGACACGTAAGGAATTGTGCCCCCCCCAGGGGTGGCAGCAAGGGGCTAGGCCAGCCACCAGGGCTCTGTAGTCTAGGGGGCCATTTCCCAGGGTCCTGTCTGCGAGTGGGTTTGGCCCCCTATGGCTTGGCCTGCTTCCCCAGGCTGGAGGGAAGCTGCTTGCTGTCTGGTTTATGGGTCGCACGTGGGAGGCCGGGCTGGGATAGGATCAGGAAAGTGACTCAGGGAGTCCCAGCCAGGGAAGCCCTGCACGGAGAGGGTGAGGAGAGATGCCCTGACCGCTGCAGCTGGTGGAGCGCCCAGCATTATGGCACATTTGGGGTTCCTGGAGAGGGGTGTATTATCCACTTTCTCCAAAGCCCCTATTTACCCTCTGCTGAGCCTCTGGGTCGTGTCATGAACCCTGCGGCCAGAGTAACAATGAGGCCCTATCGGATGCCAGCGGCAAAAAGGGAGGACATAAAAGCAGAAGTAAAAAAAATGCTGGCGTTGGGGATCATCGATGAATCCCACAGTCAGTGGTCCAGCCCAGTTGTGCTGGTGCCCAAACCTGACGGCACCACAAGATTTTGCAACAACTTCCGGTGACTAAACGAAGTATCCCAGTTCGAAGCGTACCCCCATACCTCGCATAGATGAGCTAGTGGACCGTCTGGGTACTACCCTAGACTTGACAAAGGGGTACTGGCAGATTCCCCTTGCAGAAGACGCAAAG